TAACCAGAAGGTTAGGTGTGCTCTGAACCTGTTGAGGTCTGGAGCAAAGAACTGGTGGAGATTGATGACAGGGTCGTATACTGATGATTAGAGAGTTGTAGTAACTTGGGATCATTTCATGGAGATGTTCCGCGCTCGCTACATTCCACGAGTTGAGTGAGCGTGGATAAGACAAGAGTTATTGGATTTGAGACAGGTTTCGGAGTCAATGACAAAGATCACCCACATGTTCACTGAGAGGGTGATGTTTTGCCTAGAGTTTGCATCCGAGCATGCTCAGATGACACGTTATCTAAGCATGCTCAAGACTGACATTTGATAGTTTGTTGCTACCCAACGCTGTGATATGCTACTAGAGTTATAGGAGGCCACTAGGTGGTGAGATCTTGAGATTGAGTTATAGTTATAGGAGTAGTGTCAGGCCCCGACACAGTTGCAGCCAGTGCCGAAGCGGTCTAAGACCGCTGATACTAGGTCTGGGGGCCAACGTGGCCGCACTTGTGGGAAGTGCGGGAAGGGACATTTTGGAGTTTTTTGATTAGGTACGACATGCGGAAAATGGGGAAAGGAGGGGCACTTTGCGAGGGATTTCCTCCAGTTAGCCCCGGTTCAGGATATGAAGATTTGCTACCACTGCGATCAGGTTGGTCATGTGAAGAACAATTATCCATTGCTCATTGCCCGACTGGCATAGGGTCCAGTGCTGGCAAAACTGAGGATTACTAAAAGGAGGCATGGTAGAGTAGAGCCCCTGAGGGGTCAGGGATGCGCCTTCCAGCTTACAGCCAAGGAGGCCAGGGCAGCACCAGATGTGGTAGCTGGTATGTTTCCATCCTTTTATCCTATAGTTTATATCTATTTCTTGCTTATGTGCTTTTACCTATGTTAGGTACGTTCTTAGTGAACTCCTTACCTACTCTGGTATTGTTTGACACGAGGGTGAGTTGATCTTTTGTCTCGCTATCCATTAGTAGGGAGTTCGATTTTCCTTTAAGAGAGCTAGAGTGTCTGTTACAAGTCTCTATTGCCAACGAACATGGGATTTCAACTTCATCAGTTTATTCGGGTTGTGTGCTAGAGATCTTCGGGGTATCTTTCCAAATTGACCTGATTCCAATCCCCATAGGGGATTTCTGTGTGATAGTGGGTATGGACTAGCTGAGTCGATTCGGTGCCATGATCAACTGCGAGGGTCAGCGGGTGGTAGTTTGTACCCCATGTGGGGTAAAACTAGTTATCTACGGCGAGGGCACCAGATTGGGTTCACGGTTTTACTCAGCCGCTAAGGCTCGGTAGTATATTCAGCACGAGTGTGCGGGTTATTTGGCTTATGTGACCGATACACAGGTCAGGGATCAGGTCTCGGTTTTTGAGGTTCCAGTGGTTAGAGAGTTTTACATATGTGTTTTCGGAGGCGTTACCCAGAGTGCCTCCTGAGAGGCAGGTCGAGTTCATAATCGACGTAGTGCCAGGTGTGGTCCCTATTGCCAAGGTGTCGTACCGATTGGCACCACCTGAAATGTAGGAGCTGTCATCTCAGTTACATGAACTATTGGGCAAGCAGTTAATCCATCCGAGCAATTCTCTATGGGGAGCGTCGACTCTCTTTGTAAGGAAGAAGGATGGTTCACACCGGATGTGCATTGACTACCAGGAGCTGAACAAGCTGACGGTGAAGAACTATTACCCCCTCCTACGAATAGATGATCTCTTCGATTAGTTATAGGGAGCATATTGGTTCTCCAAGATAGAGCTGAGGTTCAGCTACCATCACGTAAGGGTTAGGGAGGAGGACGTGGAGAAGACCACGTTCTGGACTCATTACGGACATTACGATTTCGTGGTGATGTTGTTTGGGCTCACCAATGTGCCAAACATATTTATGGACCTCGTGAATTGGGTATGCAGACAGACGCTCGATCGCTCGGTCATTGTGTTTATATATGACATCTTGGTATACTCCAAGACCAGAGAGCAGCATGAGGTGTATCTCCGTAAGCTCCTGGGAGTTTTGAGGTGAGAGCGGCTTTATGCCAAGTTCTAGAAATGTGAGTTTTGGTTCCAAGAGGTTCAGTTCCCTTGACATCTCGTTAACCAGGAGGGGATTTTGGTTGATCCGTCCAAGATTGAGGCAGTTATGCAGTGGGAGGTTCCGAAATCTCCCTCGTATATTAGGTGCTTTTTGGGATTGATAGGTTGCTACTAGAGATTCATACATGATTTCTCCAAGATTATGGTACCCGTCACTCGTCTGAAGTGGAAGGGGGTGGATTTCTAGTGGAGCCCCAAGCAGCAGACTGCATTTGAGACATTACGACAGGGACTCCCTGAGGGATTTGAGTATTCCATTGTGTTTAGTGATGTATTGATCACCAGATTGGGAGGAGTCCCTATGCAGAGAGGATGGGATATAGCCCATGCATCATGGCAGCTAAAGCCGCACGAGACAACATATCCTATACACGATCTGGAGTTTGGAGCGGTGTATTTGCACTCAAGAATTGGAGGCACTATCTTTATGGGGTCCTCTGTACCATATACACGGACCACAAGAGTTTGAGACACATCATGGATCAGCTGAATCTGAATATGAGACAGCGTAGGTGGCTGGATGTAGTCAAGGACTACGATTGTGAGATCCTTTACCACTCTGGTAAGGCGAATGCGGTTACAGACGCCCTGAGCCACAAGTCAGCAGGATCTTCTATACCAGCAACATGTATGAGGATATCTGTGGATTCTCCACCGGTGGAATGGATTAGGGAGGCCCAGGCTGAGGGTGTAAGACAACAGAACTGGAAGTTGGAGAGGTTTAGAGTTGAGATCACCAGATTCATGCAGGATAGTAAGGGATTATTGATCCGTTGCGGTCAGGTATGTGTTCTGATGTCTAGTTGGGTCAGAAAAATAGTTCTGGATGAGGCTAATAAGTCTCACTTCTCTATTCACCCAGGGGCCATCAAGGTGTACCAGGATTTAAGTATGAGTTACTAGTGGTCGTGCATGAAGCGAGAGATCTCTTGGTATGTCGAGAGGTGCTTGACATGCAGGATGGTCCAGGCCGAGCATCAGAGGCCGCATTGCAAGCTGCAGCCTCTGGAGATCCCCGTGTGGAAATTGGAGCAAATCACCATGGATTTTATCACCAAGCTACTAAAGACGGCAAGAGGTTTCGACGTTATTTGGGTCATAGTGGATTGATTGACCAAGAGTGCCCATTTTTGGTTCACCTCTATTTTTGGTTGCAGTTCCATGAGGAGCTGAGCATGTGACTGTATTTCATTATAGGTTATCATCCGTAGACAGACGGCCAGAGTGAGCAGACCATACAGACCCTCAAGGATATGCTGAGGGATTATGTCATCGACTTTGGTGGGAGTTGGGATTCCCAACTACCGCTTGTAGAGTTCTCCTAGAACAATAGCTTTCATTCCAGTATTGGTGTTCCACCATTTGAGCTGTTGTATCGACAAAGATGTCGCACCCCAGTCAGTTGGCATGAAGTCGGGCATAGGGTGATGGGTCAGACGAAGGTAGTTTTGCAAACTATCGAGAAGATTCATCATATTAGGTAGCGGTTGTAGACTACTCAGAGCTGGCAGAAGAGCAACACCGACTATCGCCGATCTGAGTTGGAGTTCCAAGTCGGTGATATGGTATTGCTGAAGGGCTCACCCTGGAAGGGTGTGATCTGCTTCAGGAAGAGAGGAAATTTGGGTCCTCGATATATTAGACCCTTTCGGTTTACTGTTAGGGTTGGAAAAGTGGCATATAGACTGGATCTCCTGGAGGAGCTTAGTCATTTTCACAGCACTTTTCACATCTCCCAGTTACGGAAGTGCATACTTGATGAGGAGGCGGTAGTGCCATTAAATGATATTCTGGTGATGAACGCCTGAATTACGTGGAGCGGCCTATGGAAGTCCTGGAGAGGAAAGTGAAGGTTCTACGGTACAAGGAGGTACCTTTGGTAAAGGTACAATGGGAGCACAGGAGGGAATCTGAGTGGACTTAGGAGTCGGAGGCGGAGATGCGTGAGCATTACCCGGAGCTGTTTGATGCAATAGACTTCGACGACGAAGTCTAATTCAATTGGGGGATAATTGTAATATCCTGACTCCCAGGTATAAATTTTAAAGCTTTTATACTCATAATCATAGACCTACTTGACGAGTTGCCTGCCCCAATTCGTCATGTAAAGACTGATCAGGCAGCGTGGTTTATTGAAACTACTCACGAGTTGGAGGACCCAACTCGACGAGTGAGTCTGTGTGAAAACCCCTAATTTTTAGGGTTTACACCCTATTTAAAGGACCTTAATTCCTCTTTCCTACCTCCTTACCACCTTTCACATCCATGGACAAATCCTAATCGAGCTAATCTCCTTTTGAGTGTGTGTGAGGCTAAAAGAGTATGTGTTTGTTGCATTTCTTGAAGAGGCTTGAGGAGATGGACTAGTTGACGGCACAAGGTTTAGCTTCTTGACTTTGTTCAATAGCTGCTAAATTTCCAATTTCACATCCTAAGCATGAATACCCTTGTATTTGTTAATAATTTCTTGAATTTTCATCCACTCACTATAGCCAAATTTGACTAGTTCACGAGAAAATACAACCTCAGTGTATTCATATTCCGTCTTCTTCTAGACCAAGTGAAGCTTCAGAGACTCATTCCTTGGTTTGGTGCATCTTACCTTAATAATGGGATTAGGCTTTACGCTACGAGTCAGAACGTCTCCAAATTTATTTTTGTCAATTTGATCATTCAGATCTGAAACCCTATGTTGGTTCTCCACATTATTATTGAAAAGTTGAATTTTCTTGATATGATCATTAATGCTTTGATCATCAAAATTTTCTTCAGTGGAAGCAAGAGCTTGAGTAAGTTTAGCAAATAGATGTTCACCTTTTCTGGCTTCTTTCTTTTGTCAAATAGCATCATTATTCTCTATCATGATCTCTCTTTACTTCATCAACAATTAAAATCCTTATTTTAGCCAATTAATTCAGATAAAAAAATGAGATTTCTTTTAATGGAAGGAGGAGGTGTTGAAGGATCGTTAGTAGTAGAACTTCTAGCTTTAGCATCATGGACTCCCTTTGAGGAGGAAGCCTTCCTTTTTCAAAGATTGAGCTCCCCTTGGGGATTAAGATGATCAACATCAATATCACTATTAGTTCCTTAAGGAATCTCCCCTGAAAGTATGAATCAGGGTAGATGACATTCAAAGACACAATAAGAACAACAACTGGTGGCATGAATCCTAGATCAAGAAACCCTTCATAATAATTTGTTTCTGATTGATCACTAATGTCTGGAATGGGCCGATCATCTATTGTTTCATCAACGTCTGGAATGTTAACTACATTTTCCTTTTGGAGGTCAGCTTCAACTCTTCTAGTTTCAGGCATCTTAGGCTGAAATGTACTTTGTGTAATCACCACCATTTGCTATTGTTGATCATGATTCTCTTGATTCTTCTCCCCCTTTTTGGCAGCATCATATTAGGTAGGAGAACCAGAAGGTGGTGAAGTAGTGTGAGGAGGAGGATAAGATGGTGGAGGAGGATTTGATGATGGTGGTGGAGGTGGATAAGGATTATCACCTGGAGAGTTTGATGGGGAGTCATGAATGGTGGTGGATAGGATGGTCTAACCAATGCATTTTGAGGAAATGGTCTTGGGTTGTAGCTCATGTTGGGATTTGGCTTTCAACTTGAATTATATGCATTTTGTTAACCAGATGGATTGTTAGGGTAGTTTTGGAACTCTCTTGTGGCGTTTACATGTTCCGCATCTTCTTGAAGAATGGGATGCATATCCGTAGGATGTCCCATTGTTGCACATATTCCATAGACCATCCTCCTCAAGAAGAACAGATACTCCCAGACAGTCCACGAATACCAATTTTCTTCTTCCTTATGTCACTAGGTACATAAACAACAAACTGCCAACAGGTGTTAAACCAATCTAGCACATGTTCATTCGAGAACCGAAACATGGTATCTTCTATCTTGACCATCAAAATCATATTTGATTTCAACGTACTGATGATCTTCCTGCTACTACCACTGAACACTTGTTTCATCTTCGCATGGAGGGACTTATTCATTTTGAAGTGGAACGAGGATATCATGTGCTAATCTCTCTAGTACTTAGTAAAAGATTGGAAGAGCTTCAAATTGATGAATTCAGATGGGTTAAGCCTGAGATATTGAAAGAAGCTGAAAAGTTCTACAATGGTTCTTCTGATGACTCTAAAGAAGAAGATTAGTTTTGACATCATCAGATAGGGGAGATTGTAAAGTCACACCATGTTCTGATGAGTCAAACACTTTACACATTATCTTCCAGCGATAGCGTATATGAAACATCCCAAAAATACGGTCCCAAAAATTTTGTTTTTAATTCATTAAATAAACCATAAATAACATCATCATGTACACATCACAAAAGATATATCTCCAAAAACATCACATCAAATGTCAAAATATCAAAATATCATCTCAAATATGAGAGTCAAGTATCCTAGGCTATAAAATTGCGGTGTGTGCCATGCGATCATTCTGAGCCCTTCCCTTTGATAGCAGAAGTACATGAAACAAAAACTGAAAACTTTAAGCACGGAGCTTAGTGAGATCCCCCAAACTACCATATACATAACAAATAACATATAGCATAATTTTGGGACTCCGCCCAGCTGCATCGGGATGAACCCAGCATCAGATTACCTGGAATCGGACTCCTGCTTGGTATCGGGCTCACACCGGCATCAGACCACGTCTGGCATCGAGCCTCGCCCGACATCGAGCTTACCCCAACATACACACAGCATATCAGATATCATAAGCATATAACATAAACATATAACATAAACATATAACATACATTCGGCTTGCCCCAGCATCGGACCGAAGCCCAGAACACATAACACATAACATGTAAACTAAAATACATCAGGCTTACCCTGGCATCGGACCTAGGCACGGAGCACATAACACATAACATGCATGAATCACAAAGACATCAAGCATACATAACTACCCGACATCGGATCGAAGTCCGAAACACATACTCTACATCAGGCTACCCCCAACATCAGACTAAAGCCCGACACATACTAACATAAATAAACAGGTCGGCATTGGTGCCCATGACCCGTTCCTACTGAAGGAAGACTCACCTATCAAACTGGATGTTGAACTCGTGTGTGAGGAATCTCTGCTGGCTACTCCCACGCCTCCCCGGCTAACTCTATACAATAATACGTAGTCAGAAATCTAAGAATCCTTTCAAGGACAAAATGATTGATATATCCCTGGTTAAGGTCAAAGTCAAAGTGAACTCCCAGTCGACACAACTCGTTGAGTTACCTTCTAACTCGTCGAGTTCCAATGCTATTCAGACCCGTAATAAACCAAGGAAACCAATCAAGTCCTTCACAAACTCGTCGAGTTCTGCCTTGTATAGGATCGAGACAAAACGACTTGACTCATCAAGTTGGTCTATCACCTTGCCGATTTCCACAAATCAAAACACACCGAAATCTCGTCTCAACTCGTTGAGTTCTTCCTATAAAAGCATTGGGACATTTTCCGGCAACTCGTCGAGTACCTCCTTGAACTCGATGAGTTCCTCAGACTTCCTTACTCAAAACTCCCTAAATAACTCATTGAGTCGTCTCCTAAACTCACCGGGTTGGTCCAAAGTCAGACAAGTAGAGAGTTATGATCCAGCTCGCCGAGTTGGATATCCAACTCATCGAGTCCCCTCAAACCCAAACTCATTCCATTGATTCTAATGCCACAACTCACAGATTTGGACTCCTTAGAACAACAAAACACGTACAATTGCTAACTTTATGTGCATGCATGGTGTTATTAAGCTAAAACACCAAAATCAAGCTAAAATGGAGACCTAAATCATGGAATTGGGACATGGCTGAATACAGGTGGAAACTTTGAGTTTCTAAAGCTCAAGAGATCACAGATCTGAAGTCCTAACTCCACTAAGAGCGCAAAACTCGGAAATGGCCTTGGAGATGGCCAACGGTGACAACAAGCAAGCTTAAATGAATATCTTAGTGAAAGGAGCCAAGGTATAAGCTTTATACCTCTAACAAGTTTGAAATGAAATCCATGCTCTATATCTTCTTGATGGGTTTTGAGCATTCTAACACTCCTATGGTGTACATGAAACCCTAGAATCCTTGGATCTATGTTTTCTCCTAGATACATGCAAATAATTATTTTCCAAGGTTTACTTCCTAACTAGCATGTTATGGGGTATTTGAATCATAAAACTCTAGTAGAATTACATACCTTTTAGTAGTGGTTGATTACTTGGATTTTGAGAGCGTAGCACCAATAATGTGGATGCCTCAAATGGAAGTGACAAATCACCACAAACTTTGGAATCTTGAGTGAATAGAAACACTCTTCTTGAAATCGGCCACCCTCTTCTTCTCACACAAAACTAGTGTAATTTCAAGTGCCAATGACCCTTTTATATAGTATGGTGGATCAGGGTTACATTCAAGTAAAACCTAATACCCATGACCTTTCATTTCCATGAGATACATTGGTTAAAGCTCCATGGACTATCCATGGACTTTCTATGCAAGCCTAGCCTATTCTAAATAAGCAATAGCCCACACTATATAAATACAAGAGCCCATATTTAATTAGTCACCTTTTGATCACCAAATTAATTAAATTAATTCTAGATCAATAATAATTAATTATTATGATTTCATATTAAAATCTTCAGAACTTATAATATATTAATAAATCATAAACTTACTATTCTCAAAGGATTAACCATAAATTGTTCGGGTGAAGTGCAACCTAAATGGACCATGTTGGGTCGGGTCAAGTACATCTAAAATATAGTTATGGACTTAGACACCATTTTTCGGCGTATGTGTCAGATACGCAAGATGTTATGGAGAAACCAATATTGTCGCTGAGGTTCCGGTGGTGAGCGAGTTTTACAGACGTTTTCCCCAAGGAGTTACCAGGTGTGCATCCCGAGAGGTAGGTGGAGTTTCGTATTGATTTACTTCTAGGGGTGACACCTATCGCCAAGGCGTCCTATCGCCTTGCACCGACAGAGATGCAGAAGTTATTCTTGCAGCTTCAGCAACTATTGGCGAAGGGATTCATCTGGCCGAGTAGCTTGCCATGGGGAGCACCGGCCCTTTTTGTAAAGAAAAAGGATGGCTCACACTGTATGTGCATTGATTACCGGGAGTTGAACAAGATGATGGCCAAGAACCATTATCCACTCCTGAGGATCGACAATATGTTCGATCACTTGCAGGGTGCACCTTGGTTTCCCAAGATCGATTTGAGGTCTGGTTATCACCAGATGAGGGTTCGTAAGGAAGATATTCAAAAGACAGCATTTAGAACTTGTTATGGGTATTATCAGTTCGTGGTGATGCCTTTTGGGCTCACCAATGCACCAGCAGCGTTCATGGATCTCATGAACCGGGTATGCATGCCTATGTTAGATCGCTTGGTGATTGTGTTCATCGATGATATCTTGGTATATTCGAGGTCTAGAGAACAACATGAGGAGAATTTGAGAGAACTCCTCGGATTATTGAGATCGGAGAGGCTTTATGCCAAATTCTCCAAGTGTGATTTTTGATTATGAGAGATCTAGTTCTTGGGACACCTTGTTAATCTAAATGGGATTTTATTCGACCCGACCAAGATTGAGGCAGTTATGAGTTGGGAGGTGCCGAGATCCCTCACCGAGATCAGGAGTTTTCTGGGGTTGGTCGGCTACTATCGGAGATTTATTATAGATTTCTCCAAGGTTGCTGTTTCTCTCACCAGGTTGACCCGAAAGGGCATTGATTTTACTTGGGACCCCGAGCAGCAAACCTCGTTCGAGACTCTTTGCTAGAGATTGTGCGAAGCTCCGGTGTTAGCCCTTCCAGAGGGAATGGAGGACTTTGTGGTTTATTGCGATGCATTGATATCGGGGTAGGAGCGGTGCTTATGCAGAGAGGGCACGTTCTAGCATATGCATCAAGGCAGTTGAAGCCTCATGAGATGAGGTATCCCACCCATAATTTAGATTTGGGGTTAGTAGTGTTCGCCCTCAAGATCCGGCACCATTATTTGTACGGGGTTCGGTGTACCATATACACTAACCACAAGAGCTTGAAGTATTTGATGGATCAGCCCAACCTAAACATGCACCAGAGAAGGTGGTTTTACGTGGTAAAGGATTACGATTGTGAGATTCTGTATCACCCGGGCAAGGCTAACGTGGTAGCTGATTCCCTGAGTCGCAAGACGGGGAGTGCCCCGATTCGGGATATATGTATGAGGATGACAGTGATGACTTTGGTATTGGATATCATTCGAGAGGTCCAGGTAGAGATCGTGAGACTAGAAAACCGCAAGATGGATCGGGTGATTGGGCAAGTATCT